AAAAGGCAAACTTGCAAAATAGGAAGAAGGGCTGAAGATAATGGAAACTGAGTTATGAAGCAAGTTACACACTAAGCACAGTCTGCTGCAAGCATGGTATTTTGTAATTTTTTAATAAAAGTAAAACTTTTTTGATGTCAGAATCTAATAAATTCTGAGATCAGAAATAATTTGTGTAAAATTCAAGTGATGCCAAACTTTTCTGCTCTATCAAAACCATTCAGATTTTATTTCAATGAAACTATGCTTAGAAATATTGAACAACATAAATAAGTATGCTTTTGCCCTTTAGATTTTCAGCCAGGATGACTGAAAACAACCACTTATTCATTAAAAGATCTACTCATCCACAAACATCTAAATCCACTATTCTCTAATCCACAATAGTTCTGCTAAGGACAGTCACTGCAATTCAACTTAATGTACCAGTGAGGTCCTATTGCTCTGTTCTGTTCTTGACCGATAAACATGCACCACTTGCATTAAATCAGTTGGAACTAAAAATATGCAATGATGCAGTAAATCTATCCTTCCAATTATGAGTTAATCTATATTTACATAGCACTATATACCACAGTATATTGTTTGTGTTCCCTGGTAGGAATGGAACTCTCCAGAGACAAAATGAAATGAAGTGATTAGATATAAAAGGCACAGGCCTGCCACTGTATAGTCAAGGAGCTCCCAAAAATCACAGCAATTTCGGTTACTAATGCCAACCCTAGAACTCAGGATTCACGTGCTTTGTCACTGCATGCAGCATTGGTTTACATCACCCCAAGTGTTTTACATTGTACTCACTATTACCCATTCTCAAGGTACATAAATGTTATTTATTATGTTTCCACCACACTTCAACAAACAAGAAGTAATCCATGAAACAGCAATGGCTACAAAGGCCAGTAAAAAACTGTCATTAATTTGTATCCAAACAGTGCTACCACAGATTTGGGACATGCTCTGGAGTTCTATTACTTGACGCTTTCATATGTGTCTTATGGCTGAGTATGTATATCTATTACACAGACTACTCGTTTCAACAAGCTGTGCTAAAGAACCTGAAGTTCTGAACTACCTTTCTTTAGCCTAGAAGTGCAGCTTGAAAAGATGGAAAGATCACAAATGGTGATTGCTCTAAGCAGGCTGAACACTGCCAGAAAACCAATTCTAACGCTGACTTCTGCCTGTGTTACTCACGTGTAATGTATGATTTACCCAACAAAGTCTGTCCTTCCATCACATTTTTTTTTCCTAGTAGATAAATAAGACAGTAATTTTTCCTTATACTACTGCTGTATTTCTGTTAGTAGCTTGCCATTGATGCTTACAAAAAATGTCAAATGGTCTCATTTAGCCCATTAATAATGTCATTAGCTAAACCAGCTACCAAGGACAGAGCTGACTACACAGAAAGTCCATCAACTTGAGGAGTGTTTGCATTGACAAGGGGGATGGAGATAAGCTGGAGCAAAGATCACAACTTGCTCTCAGTGCTAGTTTCTAAGCAACCCAGTCAGTCTGTCTGCGGTTAAGGAACACCGGGGTGAGTTTGTTTTGCTCTCCTGCCTCTGCAAGTAAGGCACCAATGGTGATGGCTGCTCTGGAAATGAGCTGCTGAAGGATCAGGTGGCTGAAGAATCCCCTGCTCTACAGGCAGGAGGCTTGGAAGCAGACCCACAGGAGAAGGCAGTAGTACCAGAGCTGTGTGGAGTCAGAGACTTCAAGCTAGCTCTTGCCCAGAGTAAAAAACATAAATGTAATTAAAAAACTCCAAACAACTGTCCAAGTTTGTATGTATGCACGTGTGAGAAAACATGAGCACACTGAGACTTGACAACAATGGACCAAGTCTTGGTTTTGTGCAGCAAACTGAAGCAAGAGACTGCATCCAACTTAGTGCAAGTTAGCAGGGTAAGGAGCAACTGAATGGAGATGATGTGCTATCAGCAAAATAGGGTGGTGAGCAATCTATTAGAGATTTACACAGAGCGGCTTCTGTGGTTGTCTGCCTTTTCTGCGCTGGTTTTAAAGGCTTTTTTCAGCCAGATGAGAAGCAGAAAGCCTGATGCTGCTAAGGGACAGGAGTGTTTTGGAGTGCACTCTTGAGATGCAGGAGGGCTCACAGAACGCAAAGCTGTACCAGAAAATCTAGGCAGACTTCGCAAGGATTCTCAGAAGAGGAGTTCAGGCCATCATGTTACTGGGACCATTCTTCATAGGCAGTGTCAGGGCATCTGTCTCAGACTGGCATGTCAGTAGAGAGGCTACAGAATAATACACTAAAGTGAGCAGCAACAAATTCGCAGGACCAGATGATATTTGTGCAAAATTTTCATATGTGTCCAAGGTAAAATATGTAATTTTCTAAATGTGATGTGCAATTCGTCTCATGAAGCATGATTTGAGAAAATTGGAGGTAGCTAATTTGATACCTGTTTCTAGAGTTTCAGGAGAGAGTAAGGAACATATTGACCAAGAAACTTGCTGTCTTTACCAGCCAAATTGGCAAAATGCATACCCAAGAGATGAATGCATTGAGAAGAATACAATGAAGTTTCTGTAAACAGAAGTAATTCTTCATAAACTCATTAGTTCTTTGAAGTATGCAACAACCCTGAGGACAAGGAAAATCTAGCTGATATAGTTTACTTCAGCTTCCGAAGAGATTTCACCACAAGCCTTTCAAAGGCTCTTAAAGGATATCATCTGAGGGATAAGCAGGAAGATTCTTGCGTGGATAAACAGTTAAAAGAACAAAGGAGGCTAGGCAGAAATAGTTGGGTTTTATAGTGGAAAAGATTATTAATGCTTAGTTTATGCTGTTCCATGTATTTCTAATATATTAGAAAAAGGAGAACAGTTGTCTGACCACATTTGGTGATGCTGCTAAGGGTAAAACATAAAGATTGACTCAAAAATTGCAGAAGGCCCCCATGCTACTGTGTGATAGGGAAAAAAACCGCACCAGCTAAAACTCAGTAGTGATATAAAATAGGGCACAAGGAGAAAACCCCGTCCTAACAACATTTACAGTGATGGGCTCTGAACTTACTATTACCATTCACAAATGATATTTTTATATTACATCAAAGAAAATTTGGCACAATATTAAGCAGCAGTTCAAAAAAGTATATTGAATGCTCAGAATTATTTAAGAAAGAAACAAAAGGGAACACATAATTCCACTGTATGCACCTGCAGTGTCCCAGCATCTCAACTAGTATCTGAAGTTTTATTGTGCCAATTTCATAAAGGCTGTAGTGAAATTAGAAAACATGCAAAGACAATAACAAGGACAAGTTAAAGTATGGACCAACTTTCACATGTGGGATGATGAAATAGCTTAGGACAGTCCTGGCTGGAAAAGAGGTGGCTGAGGACAGAATACGACATCTCTGTAAAACCACAGTGGCAAGGAGATGGTGAGTAGGTTTTGAATCCAGTATGGTAACTAGAAGGCAGAAGAAAAACAAACAGGAGAAAACAAACAAAAGAAGGCCTGGTTACACTGCTGAACATGCAGGATGCTGTGGAAGGTACAGTTTTATGGGAGTTGGAAAAGTTACAGGGAGACATAATAGAAGGAATAAATCGACTGAAGACTACTCAATATAAAGTCATAACCCTTGGGAGCCCATGAACTCAGGGCAAGTACCACTGCACAAGCATTCTTACTTTATACTTATTCCTAGCACCCATCTCAGCCAGGCAGAGGAGGGTACGGAACTGAATCGTCTGACCCACCACCTCGGTTCCTGTGCAGTGAGGAAGAGGACAGGAATCCTCACGCAAGCTGGTCACAAATAAACATTACTGTCGTAATACAATTAACACTAAAATCCTCAATTAGAAAGAGTGCAGAGGGTACTAATACAGCATCCTAGCAAGGGTCAGTGGAGTACCTGCAGTGGTCATGGTAGGTAACAGTCCTGCATGCAGGGCTGATTTTCTTCTGTGATCCCAACGGCTATTGAAATCCATGGATATATACTAGGAAGGAGAGAGTTTTTTAATTGTGTACCTTGTGCGACCATTCTTGGAATACCATATGCACAGTTTAAAAAAGGATGTTAATTAAACTGGAAAGTTTAATTGCACATTCAGAGCACTGCAAAGCAGTTTTGGATGTTGGATGTTTCACAGCTCTGTGTCTTAAATGTTCTGGGGAACCCACAGGCCACCACTGGCACAGAGGACAGTTGCATCACTGACAATACTTATGGGAAAAGCCAGAGTAAATGCAGCCCAGGAGTGGTAACTGTACTCATCATGCATCTGTACAATGTCTCAGCTTGTTTCAATGAATTTTCACGGCATCCTCTGATAGAAACTAAACAGCCATAGGCTACTGCAACCGATGTGCGGCTTTGGATAGCCCCTCCTCTTCTTAGTAATTACTGGGTTTGGAATTACAGCAGGGGCAATAATAATTTTGAGGAAGATTGTTAACTGTCTTCAAGTACAACAAAACATTTTGAACACACTAACAGTCAAACTACTCAAATAATGCATTACATTAAGAGTTTTCTTAGTTCATTTGGTTTCTCTGGGGGTAAATACTTAAGTTGCATAAATGTGAAAGTTAGTTGTCCTGCTTTTAGGATGTGTATGTGTAAGAAGAAAATAACTATTTCTCTTGGCAATACGGAGCTAATACTGCTAAAGGAGTAACACTGAGTCATCACTAGAACCGCCTACTAATTTCCAATAAGCACAATTAGGCAAAATAGATGCAGGCACTGGAATTTCATTAAAATCCTCAAATAATGTAATTTGAGCGTGGGAGACTTTGCTGATAGCTATAGTGCTATATGAAAACTGATCTTAATATAGCTATTAGAGTATGAGGGTGAGTTAACAGAGCTGGTACTGAAGCCACACTACAGGTACTTTCTGCTGAGCATGACTACACTTTGACTACACTCAAAATCACACAACCCACATCAGATGTCAAAAAGGATAGCTGATTTGTTACAATTCTGTCCTTCATTTCTTGACAGGAACAACCTGTTCGTCTTGAAGGCAGTGTGATGGATGCACATATTCAGTGGCTTAAGCAAGAATATATGAAAACTCAGAGGAACTGGAAAGAAGTGGATAACAGAATGAATGTGACAATAGAAATACGGAGGAAGATGATCAGTGATAAGGCACCTTTAAAGGACATTCTTAGACTATTTCCATTTTTAAGATGCCCTTATCAGGTAACAGAGCTATTTTTAATAATGACATTGAAGTCTATGTTATTCACAGGATACAACTGTAGGCACATATTTCACTGGATGTTTCCAGTGAAGTATCTATCAACACTGTTCTCATTAGCGGGCTGCTAACCCCACTTTAAAAGATTCACCAGTCCTGTGTTAAACACGCTACACACACCAACAGTGGGTTTTCTGAAGTATTTTGGTGTTACCTCTTGTATTTCTTCCCTGCTTTTAAAAGAGATAAAACCATCCCCTCCAGTTTATAAAGTTATTTTACTGAGCTGGTTTTATCCTGTCTTTCAAGTGTGCACCGCTGTGTTGTTTTCAGTGTTAGTTTTGAGGATTGCAATAATACCAAATACTTGTTTTTCTTTTAGATTTTTAGGGAGTTCCAGCTTCTCACACAGATGGACATTTATAAGAAAACAGTTGAGATTTTGGAGATTTATTCAGAAAACATAATATCTTTGTATGTGGTGAGGAATAATCCAATTAACATTATGCTGCAAGAAAATCTGAAGTGGCACACAGAGGAAGAGATTCTGAAATGTCAGTACAAATCTTCTATGCTCTGAATATCAGAGTTTTGTTGCAGTTAATTGTTCTTACTTACGTAACCAAACTAGCTCCAATTTTACTGCAAAAACATTTTTTTAAATGTCACAGTTGCTTGAAAAATATATAGTGATGGAGAAGCACTAAGAATAAAAGCTAATAAATCACTAGGAAAATTAAGCCAGTCAAGTATTGAAACTTATTTTAATACTGAATAAAAGACTGCAGGTTTGATAAAGTTAGTAACTGCCTTTAAATATGTACTGCCAGATGAGCAGAATTATGTATTTCTAGATATGTAAAAGAGTGCTTATTACTTTCTAAAAATACATGCATAAAACTAATTTTCTCGTTAAGAAATAGACCCATTAAAAAAAAGACAATTTCTTTTAGAAAGAAAGGTACTGTTTCTGTGGCTGAAGCCTTCACCTCAGTGAAATAAAAGTTACCTCTGTGTTCCAAGTACCCTATCTCTGCAAAGACACTGAAGGGGTAAGTGCACAAACTGGTACCTCTGGTGAGTACCACACAAAGCAGCCCATGTACCTCACCATGTTTGGCTCACTGGCTGCCAGGGAGCAACCAACCTCCCGCCACTTAACTTCTTTCAGCCTGAGAAGTCTGAGGAGTGTGGTTCTGCAGGGACAAAACCTTTGAAGCAGCTACTCAGAATCATTATTCTTCCCAAACTGCAACTGTGGATGTCTACGCCTGAGCCTAGCCCTGTGAGAAGTGCTCCTCAGACTGTCATTTTCTATCAAAGAGGCACAATGCCAGGATGCCAAAATCAAAGGTGACACAGGGTGACTACCTGTGTTGCCTGTAGCGGTTTCACTTCTTTTATTACCAGGCCATTTCTTAAAGAAGCAAGCAGAGTAGGTCAAAATACTTGGGGTTTTCTTTCTTTAAGCTTAAAAAAAACAAGTACTCAATAGCTCATGATAGATTAAAAAGTGTCAATGAACAGCCTAATCCAGAAAGCCTTTATGGACTTTCTACTCACATCTTCGGCTTTAGAAAGCTGTAGACATTGTAAGTAATTTCCCCTTTTCTTATACAACATGCCCATAAAGATTTTAACTCGTACCTTAATATAAGTCCCAAGGCCTTTACTTTCCTGTTTTTCTCTCACAAGCAACTTGACCTGGCACATAGATAATAAATGCCTGACAAGATAGGCTCAGTGAAACACACAACACTCAATGTCTGACCTGCAAAAAAGATGTTACAGTCAGTAAGAGCTGAACCAGAGGGGTAGTGGGTACCATGTCCCAGGGGTTCCTGCAGCACCAGCTTGTACCGCAGCCTTCGAAGTGGAGTCCTCTGGCAACAGGGCTTCCCAGAGACATCTGATCTACTGGGGAGAGAGGAGTTTGGGGAAGGAGGCAGAAGGACTACTCAGCTTGCAAACTCCACTAGAAGCACTCCAAAGGCCTACTTACCTCTTGTAAGAGAAATTTAATCATAATACTGAGCAGCACAGTGTCACAAACGATTTGAATACTAGTGTCCATTGCCAGCTGAGGCTCCTAAACCTTCGTTGTGGTACAAACTGCTCTCCAAAATGGGCTGAACAGTTCCACGGTTGAGCTGTGAGCCAGTACATAGGTTGCAATCTGCTTTTGCAGGATGATACTGCAATGCCAGAATGTTTTCAGTTGCAATTTAGTAGAAATCCTTGCTTTTGACAGATATGAAAATGACTGCTGCGTGTTTACTCCTGCCAGATGTCTTTGGAGATGATGCCAGTCTGTTCGCTGCAGTGAACGACGAGGTAGGAGACAGAGCACCAATAGTCTTGGTCTCTCTTCCTTGTATCTTCTGCCTGGGCACATCACAGGGCCCTTTGGTGGCTAAGCTTAGTTCCTGGAAAAAGATTACATTAGCCTGCCTTTTGGGTAGCAGGCAAATATTCATAGAAATACTAGCTAAATTCAAAGCAGTGTTATAAGGCTTACTTAATTCTCTGACCTGTTCACCAAAGCGATGCTGTGGCATCACTTGAAATACTCTTTTTTTTAAATTTAGGTAAAGGCAGTGACACCAGTGTTGGAAGTAAAAAATCCCTTCAATGTGAATTCATGCGAGTTTGCGCTGTACATAGAAAACGAAATGCTAGCCCAGCTCGATGACTGCACCATGGCTCTGGCTGCACTGCTGGCTGCATTTCATGTGTTCGATATCCCGTGCCCAAAGAGAATCCAGAGGACGCTCAACTTCCTGCAGTCCCTGGTCTTTGAGGTGAGGAGCCCAGCATCCCTCCCCACCCAGGTAAAGAGAGGGCTGGGGGCACCTGAGTGTCCCAGTATCTGATGGTGTACATAGCACTCCTCTCAGGAGCACCTGGCTTTTTGTCAAGATAAATCTCTTTGTTGTGTAGATAAATCAGTGCCATTCTTTCTGGTGAAAGTGTATGTATAATTAACTATGTTTAATCATGCCCTTTTTACTGGGGGAAGTACTGGCTACTTTCATTTACAGGCTACTAAGCATTTTCATTATTTTGAATGGAAATTCTAGAGCAGTCTAGAAGTATTAGAGATAATAAAATTTTCTAGATCACTGCATATGTCGTGTATTATTTTTCCATATGGAACATTTGACAAATTTGGGTATTTTGACTGTCAGACTTTTAAAAACACATTGTGAACTAGTGTGAACATTTCACTGCTTCAGATGCTACTACATTTAATATTTTGAAGTGGCACAAATTAAAGATTTACTTGTTATCATTTTGTTATATGATGATCACTTAAAGCCTACTGTAATAATTATTGTGTTTTAAAATGGTGGGCTTGATTTTTAATTTGCAGGATTATGAGTTTTCACTATTTTCTCCATGCATGAAACATTCTTTTTTTTTTTTAACATTAATCCTGAATTTGCTAAATAGGGATTCTGAGACGAGCTCTCTAAGTAGCAAGAATGACTTATCTGGGATGCTGCCACATGCTTTTGTAACCACAGCTTTGGCGCTGGGGAAAGAACGCCTCATTTTCTTTCTGAATTTGTTCCCCAGAACAAATCGGCCTTCTCCACATGGTGATTCTCCTATCTGCCTACACAGAACAGAGGCCCTCGCCTCTCCTCTCCTCTTTCAAAGCCTCCTCTTCTCCTTAACATGCTCCTCTTAACTCCTGCATGTCTGGAAATCCCAGGGGTTACTGCCTGACAGTGCATGGCTTCAAACAAGAGCCTAGTGATGGACAGCAGCCGCAGCCAGCAAGTGCAACCCATTGCATTAATTAGAAATTAAAATGGTTTTTTATTTAAACACTGCATTCTACTGAAGAGTTCAGTCTCCCACCAGTTCTAAAAATGCCTGTGTAGCGTTTGTGATCACCACCATTCTGTAAACACTCAAAGACACAGCTCGGAAAACCACAGAATTTTTATTAAAGCCTTGCTCTGCAGGGGTGACTCCAATGCAGAGATTACAGTGGGAGACCCTGCAGTATGAGGGGAGATCGCTGCATTTAATGGCCAGACTCTCTTGCTAAAGTCTCAGGATTTTTCATGTGGTTCCATGGAAATCAGGGGACAACCTGTGTGATGGCTGGGCTACCTCCAACACAACATACAAAACTATACCAACTGCCTTTTTAAATGTTCAGTAGGTCTCCCGAGTTTTTAGTTTCCGAGTGAATCTGTTTGGTGTCATTTTTGTAACAGACGCGGGTACACTCTGCTACTTCATCACACGGGATACAAAAATAAGAATTATGCACGTCCTCCCTGTTGTGAGTGATAGCTGTGTGAATTAAAAGTTGGGGTCTGTATCATTTAAGTGAGGTTTATTCTACATCTTGTAAACAGGATTAATTCAAACCCATTTCTTAAACCACAGTACCCTGTAAGCAGGCATATGAAAATGCAGGGAGCTGCTAACATCCCTGAGTAATCTCTGCTGAGCAGCAAATCTCTTCCTTGGTTCTCACTGCAGGTACAGACCTGACACATGAGGTACACAGAGGGTGAAGGAAAATAAACTACATGAAAGGACAGAAGGAAAGAACAGAAGAATCTGGCATTTTACTGACCTGCATGGGCAACTTCAGATGCTGCCAGTGACGAAACGCAGGTCCATAAATGGGATTCTGATTGTGACAGCAAGTGGCCTGTCAGCCTTAGCAGTAAGTGTTTAGGGAGAGAACAGACAGCAGTAGCTAAGTTGCTCTTTTGAACTCATGGCCACGTTGAGCTACAGTGAGGAACTACTCCACACCACCTTCGGGAACAGCCGGGTTCGTTTGAGAATCCTGGGCACACACACATGTAACAGACGGCTCCAGTTCAGGTTTTATTTGTATTGTAGTACAATAAGAGTGCAATTTGAATGTACAAATATTGAACAAAATGTAAAAATATTATTTATGCAATGCTGTGGAAGGAAATTAACAGAGCAATGCAACTTACTTCATATCGACGCTGTTTCACCTCATACTATGGCAGGTACCAGTCACCTACGTTATCTGGAAGGGACACAGAGTTCTTGAAATCCTAAGGAACTCCAGCCAAAGAACAGCCTAGCAAAAGCTGTGGGCGGATTTTGTGGGTAGATACAATCCTAAATTCTCCCAGCTCTCTGCAGCGGAAATGCTCTGTTTGTTCTCAGCTCTAAAGGCTGAGCACCTGCCCACCACAGCGCTAAGAAGAGCACTGCCAAACTCCTCTCTCTTCTTGTAAAAGTAACATTCTGCAACAGTCCTCAGTATGCAGGTAGCTAAGCTTTCTCCCATTTAAAGTGCATCTGGTATATATCTTACATATATATACCAAGTGTAATGACTCTCCCTGACAAATCATTATAAAAATCCTCCAAGAAAGGAGGTTGCCTCACCCAAGTACCTGCTGGTGGCATCTGCAGCCTTGCTAATGACCTGGTGAAACTCATGCATTTTACATCTAAGACGTGCCAATGCACCATATGCGATTAAGTATCCTTTTCCTCTGTGCTTTGTCCTTTCTCTATGCTTTATTCATTTATAAATCAGACTTTCCAACTAGGAAGTGGTGGGTGAAATAGTTCTCCCACCATTGAGAAAACAAACCTATGTTGAATATGAAGCCAGAGTAGCAGTCCTTTAGCACGCTGGTTTTTTTTCGCTGTTGTAGTAACTATACTGGAGACTGGCACGTGCAGACATGAATGAGTATGTTTTCTTTTTTTGCTAATATCCTTACCTCAAAATACATGTATTTTCCTTCATATGCAGAAGGAGGCTCCCACAGGTGGGACTCTGCTGTGCAGCATAAATGATTAGTCTTCTATGAAGTCAAACTTTATTTTTCAGTTGCAGCCTTCTCTATGCTGATCTTTTGGTTAAAATACATTAAAGATGCTGGTGGAAAAACTCACGTAACATTTTTGTAATCGTGCAAAAGTAAAAACATTCAGTTATCAAAAAAGCATTATAATTTCAACCCCAGCAAGGTTTCTTTTGTTTTGTTACACTCAAACAGACAGTTTTATAATCTGTTAAGTTATATGCAGTAGCATAAAGTGTCACGTATGTAACGTTAAGTGTTTAATTTTTAAACTATGGCACAAATACGTATTAGCCATAACAGTCTCATCTGGCTACCTGTAGCCTAATTTTTGGCTAATCAGTTTTTATTTTCATAGTATGAAGTAAAAGCTTCTGAAAAGTAAAATGGGTACATGAAGTAGAATTCAAGAATTCTTAGAAAATATTAACGTTTCCTTATATAATACAGCATAAATAACTGATGTTGGTTTTCTTGATGTCCAGAGAAAGTTAGGGATCCTAACCATCCAAGGAGAATTAGCGTCATTATAAGATAAGGTAAATAAGAGTAGCTGACTCGGTTGTTGCACAGTACCTTCTCAAAAGCTTGAACACTTCCCAGAAGGATTGAGATGTGTACTGGCTCCAGGAAAATATAAATAGTCCACCAGTGCTGAACGTATGTTTCTTCCTTTCTGACAGTCCTCACTCAACAGTGCTAGCGAGTCTTTGTGCTTTGAATAAAACATGAGCTCCAGTGGAGAAAACTGGATTGTACACTTTTTCCATTATCTTCAAAGTTCATTGTGTGAGTTTTTCTCTGCAGCTTTGAACATCAGAATGGAATTAAAGATTTTTAGGGCCGGTCCCAGTTTAATGCTCATTATTTTGACTATGTCTGATTGGGTCATTAGCAGAAATGCTTCTCCATCAATTTGCTTTAAAAGAAAAAACACACAAAGCTATTAATAGGTCTGACAGTGCAGCAGTACAGATGTTTCAGAAAACATGAAAAGAAAATTGCCAGCAATTTCAGGCAGCGTAAAGGGATAGCTGAATACAAACACTTTCAAATGCTTTCACGATAGCTTTGATTTCAATCTTTCAGACAGATCAGCTAGTCCAAAAGAACAGGATGATGATTTTTCTGCTTGAAAATAACTGTCTGGCTCATTTTTAGCCAACCAGTTCTTATTTTCATATTGACAGTATAAGGTAAAAGCTACTGAAAAGTAAAATGGGTAAATGAAATAGAATTCAACTGCACTGCAGTACAGTAATGCCTTTTAACATCTTAGCTGCTCCTTTTATGTAAGGCTTTGTAAGAAAGTTTCTGGATTTCACTCCCAGATACAGAAATGGAAATCCCTTCAGGCCACTCCTTTCTGTTCATCTAATAGCAAATTAAAATTAATTTGGTCCCAGATGTAAACAGGGGCCAGGCTACATAAAACTGCCTCTTTGACACAAACACAACTTTGAAAATTCTGAGTATTTTTTCTGTCAGCTTTGTAGTGTTGCTATTTTAAGAAATGTTACCAGTTAATAATCTCCTGTAGCAAATCACTCTGTCAGCAAGGAGTGCTAAATCCAAACATGAAGAGCCACCAAGGCCCTCCCTTCCAAGGGCTTCAATGGGACCAACACTTTTTGTGTTAACTTCAGGCCACTTAGGTGCCTACAGTAAGTTCTTAGTAACATAAGCAGGATGACTAGGCCTAAAAGCCAACTGTGGTTAAATCAGGAGCATTGCTTAGGCTGAGAGATAATAATGTAAGATAAAACCAGTGTAATTAAGTTCCTGTAAGAGGAGAAGACAAACTTGCTGAATCAGACATGCTGCAGAGGAAGTGTGCAAGGTACACCCCACCACTGTAAGTCAAGAAACACCGCAGTGAGAACAGCATCATGCACTTACCGCAGCTACTTCCTACTCATTTTGTGCACAAAGCCAGACTGAGTGGGCTCAGAAACAGAAGTGTGGGAATGTGGGGGCGCCCAGCTTTTTGCAACATCTTAATATAAGCAGAATGAGGGTTCATTTAGACAGCAGAAGTTTGAACCAGCACCTTCCACCTACTGAAAGATCTGCCGATGCTTGTCAGTCCATGTCGGCTGGCCTCACTGCGAGAGGTTTAATTTACTATTCATGGACAAAGCCTGAGAGGCTGAATCCTAAAGGGGGAACGTATTTTCTTACGCCTCTGAGAATGAAAGTGTTTAGGATTCATCCATCTCTCTGGGTCGTCCCACCTGCTGACTTGATCAGCAACATGCCAGCTTTTATTTATCTCAGATTCATTGGTGAGACACCCTAAGTGACACAGGGGATGACCTAGGCCTGCATACCTGCTGCAACTGTAAAATGCTGAACATCTGGGCAAGTGCAAAATGCCCAGAGGTGCAGCCTGTCAGCCCTTTGATATGCAGCTGTAATAGTCACCACAACCTACAGCACAGCCTGGAAAGCTTTGTCATAGGAGATTAGCAGGACCATCTGTATGCATTTTTCTCAGCAGGTGCCTTCTCAAGTCTAAGTACCACAAATATTCTTCAATTGAAAGGCTGGTTGACTTGGGTATTACAGTACCAGACTGCTCATTCAGGTAGTCTGGCTGGGATAAGCACCTGAACTACTCACTCTAGCAATTTGTGATCAAACAGCTTTCTTGAAACTAAGCATTAAAAGAAGTAACAAACCTCTGAGCGGAAAAGAATAAGCTTATAAAGGCCTATTGCACCTAAAAGCCCTATCCCTTCCTAATGACAACTTTGGCACAACAATCTTCTTGGATACCAGAAATGCATGCCTGGCATGCTCACAAAGTGAGCACGCACTCCTTTGAACCTCATCATAAGCCTTTAGATCTTCTCACTTCCTGCTCACTCAAATCACATTAATAAATTGGCTCTATCAAGAGGAAGAACATCAAGACCTAAGTGTGATCAGTACTAAGTAACTTCAGTTGCAGTAACAAAGCTAGAGAAGCATGAGAGACCTGGCTGACACTTTGCTAGTTTTGCCTTCTTTACTTCCTTCTCACTCCCCATGACCTGCAACCAATCTAATCTTCCACACATCTGCATCTGACTTTAAACATATGCTTCAACATACTACTTTATATGTATTTTTAATTATGACATAAAATTAATCTTTGCATCAAGCTTTGAACTGTGTCTTTCTGAAATAATATTCACCCACCTCATCTTTAAACACCTTGCCATGTTCTTCACATCCTGGTAAACTCCGTATAAATTCAGAGACCTGCCACCAAAGTATACAAAAACAGATTTAGTAAGACTGATGTTTTCTCAAAATAGTCTTAAAGGCTGACAACCATTAAAGCAAAGATTTTTAGCTATTGTTTCTACAGCCTCATATTAGGTATTCCACCTTCTTCTATAAATGTGTGGAGTCATGCAGCTGGGTGTTTAAGGACAGGATTCACAAAATCTGCAAACTAAAAGAGCACATGCCACTCTTGTCCATGGGACATCTAAGAGTGAGATACAACTACTCCCTCAAAATTACTCAGGCTATTCTATCCATGCAGATCCAGAACCATGAATCTTCTCCTCTTGGTGAAGCACCTCTCACAAAATAAAATGGTGGCTGCCTTCCTCTTCTTTATTCTTTGTAGCATAAAGATTAGCAAATCCTTTTTCAAAGTCCATGCTGCTTTTTTCCTCTGATTAGAGGAGATCCAACCAGCCTAGCTGCGGAAAGCTCCCTTAGTCATAGGTACTACTGCAAGTAAAGCAGGGACTAGACCCTGGCTGTCCAAGCACTATTACATACTTGAACAGTGGGAGGGCTCTGATCTTGTAATCAAGTGTCATGAGCTGACCACATCCATACTGTTCCTCTGCACTATATTCTCACCCTCCAAAACAGTGTGCCACAACAAAACTATGCACCAGGAATAGTTCCTTGGTCCATGCTGACCCCTAAACCATTCGTCCAAAATGTCTGTGTCAGTGCTAGATGTTACTACTGTGCACCTTTTGGGGATCTGTAACATTAGGCCTGGCTGACTCTGCGTACCAATGTATTATCTTTAATTTATGGGGTCAGTTTAAAGCTCTGAATCAACCAAGACTTAAAGGGCAGTGGCAGTGAGACAGAAGGTACAGGGGAAACCTACCTCATCTGTACTCCACTTGGAAACTTTGCTGGCTGGGATCCCAGCTACACTTGGAAGGAGCTTGCTCTGCTGTTCCCAGCGCAAGGGTAGGCCAGGGATTTGCAACTTGGAAGACACAATAACTGGTTGAGAAAGAAGCCTCTGCGTGTTGGGTTCTTCGACATCTTCAACAACAGGAAGCAACAAACATGCATTAAATCCCTCAGTCAATGAGATGGGTCACAGTAAAAGCACATTCATTTCTACTGATACATATGGGCCTCCCTACACAAGCTGCAGTTTTGCTTACAGCAAAATTAGAGGAATACCATGACTGTTCTTCCACTAGTATGACTGTGATTATATTGGCTCTGTACAAATATAACTACTCTTACATGGAAAAAATCTCTTCCAACACAACACAATTCTATGCCAACACAACTGGTGGCATATCACACCATAGGTCAAATAATTTTAAATATTTTGATGGAATAAATCACACCCACATTTAATAGCTGTACAGCAGTACAAAAACTAACTTAATTCCAGGGTTGAGCTACTTCACCAAATGCAGCACTGCACTGCTACAAAATTCCAAGTGAATCAGTTGTACAGTTCCAGCCCACACAACATTTATGCCTCATCCACAACAAAATTTTTTTCAGATCTTCTGATGAAAAAACACAAATGTCTGCAAATTCCCTGCTCCCACTTTAACTGAATGTTTTATTTTGAAAATAACATTTAACTGCTCTGTGCTGCTATGGGGCGTTTTTGCAAGGTCATTTCCTTTTTTATCTCAATTATCCATAACGGAAGAAATGAGCTCCTATCCCACCAGCCTCAAAGGTAATGTACTGGTGGGAGGGTGTCCTCAGCCACATGCTGCTGTGGCTGGTGCTGTCTGGAGAGCAGCAGCAGTTGCAGATGTGTGTAGGAAGAAAGATGATGTCAAACTGCGTAACACATCTACGTTCATTTAGATTCACTGCAAATACAAAAGCAACATGCCTGCTATGAACTCAGGCCTGAATGCTTCCCAGTTGTCAAGTAAAATTGTGGAAAACCTCTGGAATTCATTTCTGAATGAAACAGCCAATGAAGAACCTATGCCTGATATTCCTTACTGACATGGCTTCATGCAGTCACTCACAAATCCCTGTGCCATTTTTGTTTGAGGGCTCACTTCTATTACAGCACCATTCTATTTCCATTTTGGGGGAAGTTGCAATTATTCACAGTTCTCCCTATCCTTAGTGTTCTAGTTATCATACATTTGTGCCCAACAACTAGGGCACAAATTCCTATTATAGATTTTTTTGTCAGCACAGTGGGACTGGTCTAGAATATATAATGTGGCCAACATAGGATGTGACTGTGACACTGTTTGTGTTGTTCTGCTCCTCCACCTTAAATTTTGATTACTTTCTAGATTTATCCTCATTTTATATCCATGTCAGCTGTTCAGAAGTTGACTCTTAAGCTTAAATTTAGTCAGTATTGTCAATCCACTGATAGAATTTTTAAATAGACACCTTAATTTTTTCCTAACATCATAGGCTTTCTCTTGGAAATAAGTTCCCTAAATGTCTGTTTATGCTTCACTGCTGTTCTTCAAATGTTCCTTAGGGCTTCTACTACCTCTAAAAATCTCAATGAGAAAAAGAAAGAATCTTGTAAGGCACCAAAAATGCTAAATGTAAAGCCTACTTTACGAAACAGTACCTTTCAATTTGTCTCCCTGAAGCCGCTCCCCATCCTTAACCCCTGATTTTTTCTTTCAAAAAGGATCTCTTAAGAGTTGAAAATACAAGTATTTAGCTATTTTTTTGTTTTCCTTTCACAAAACATGTAATACACTGATGCTGTAACATAAATAGCAATAGTATGCGAAGAAAATTCCAACCAAATTGCACTCCATTTCTGCAGATGTAAACATATGTATACATGAGAGCATATAGACACATGCATAGAGAGTAGCAGCAATGACAGCTAAGGTTATCTATCTATGCCAAATGTCTCTGCTTTCAATGTTTTACAGCTGTGTCAAATCCTAACAGTCACAGATGAAAAATCTATGATTGGCATCTGTTCATGCTGTGTTATTTTGGAAAACTTCAAGCAAACACAGGTCAGCTAGTTATGAATGAGGTCAGCAGAAAATAAGGCCACTAATGTGACAATACGTAATGCTAAACCTTTTACTCCATCTATTCACATTCAAGAACTCTATTTACTGACATGGAAAGGAATTCAGTGCCTAATGTCTTTGAGGATGGGGGAAAAAAATGCCTCTGCTTCTCACTGTGTCCTATGTGCCACACAGGTAAGACAAACAGCACAAAAGGAGCATGTGAAATGCCAATTTACCCAACTAGACAGAGGAAAAGAAAAAAAAAAGTAGTCCCAAATCATGCAGCAGGTATAACCACATCCCTGACAAAAGGAAGTTTAGGTTTAATGTGAGTAACTTCTTGCACAGGACAGCGCAAAGCACAGTATTTTGGCTACAGTCTGTGTCTGTAATACCAAACATCTAAAAGTTCTCCCTACCCTCATGTTCAGTGTTCTTTTCGCTCCAAATAATCCTTCTCCAAAACAGGGAAGATAGCTGTACATGTTTTATTAAGTATTAGCAGAGACCTGGTTAAGTGAGTATGGCAAAAGTAAGCCGAAGAATAATAATGCAAATGACATGCAGAAAAAATAGAGCAACAAGCACAGGTACCAGTAGCCATAGTTCACAACAGTCTGCACAACTATTTTAGCTTGAGCTTTCCTTAACTATGATAGCAAGAACTCAACAATCCATTTTCATCCTAAAGATTAAGTATTATGGCACATTTAAACAAACAATGGCACAAAGTTATGTGTATAAAAAGGAGGTGAAAAGAATAACCTTCATCTTCTCTATAACTCTTTTATTTACTGGAGGACTGTGACTAGATTCCTCCAAGCCTTTCTTAGGTAAAACAAAACAAATTCCTTCAAATTTTCTTCATAAGTCAAGTTCCTCAACCATGTAATCATCTTGGTGGCCCTCCACTAGACTGACTCCAGTTTTTCAAAGAAGTAAAAATTGTAGCATCCCTTGTATTGAGTTTTCTGTGAGGTGGTTTTTTGGTTGTGTCTTTGGTAACAGGGGAAGGGCTATGGAGATGGCCCTTTAAGCCACCTGAAAAGCTCCCCCTTTGCCTTTGTCAGACCCACCTCTGACCAAGGCCAAGCCAATCAGCGCCCCTGTGAATTCATGTATTTAAGGGGGGCGCAGGGCATGCCTCGCTCTCTCTCTGGCACCGGCCCTGACCAGCGTGGACCCAGGTGTGGGTGGCGCGGCCCCAGCCCTGCCCAGCTGGGCTTGGCCGGCCCCAACCGCAACTTAAGCTAAGCCCTGAAGCACCTCATCCCGAAAAAAAAAACGAGGGAGAGAGCCGGAAATTCCATAACCATCGGAGGAGACCTGCAGTGG